TGTTATATATATATATATATATATATTTATATATATAAAATAAATTGAGAACAATTGTTTTGATTTTTATCAATCTATTTATACCTTTTAAAACATTAAATGTAAGCATGTATTCATTCCTGATGGAAAGAATATTTTTTCAGATATCAAAATATTTTCAATAATCTAGTATACTAAACGCAATGTAAATTTGTATATTAATCGGTCACGTATCCTCATCTTACCATTTTGTGGTAATAAGATAAACCGCTGTTATAGAAACAAGCTGCATAACGCGACACTAATAAACGATCGTGCTTCGTGGCATGTGTGTATGCATGGGTATATATATATATATTTTATATGCACAACATACCGGAGGCATATCAAATGGTTTCAGTGATTCCATCAAAACTGCTTGAGACAGTATATCGTTTGTATAAGTTTGCAAAGTTCCTAATGGGACGACCTTTCCTACCTATACATGTCTATTCTTATGAATCTTATGCAGTAAATTATACATTCGATTATGATTAACAACCATCTTTTATTATTTTTGTTCTTATTTTATTCCTTGATTTTTCAAACCATTGGAATCTGTTGGTTCCCGTTGTAGATCAAGGGACAGTAAGTCTCTTCAATGCTCCAGAATTTTCTTTTTATATTCTGGTTTTAGCAATGCTGTCGTCACGTTGATTTGCATTCTTCATCGATTTTTTTTTGTTTAACCTGGAAGCGCCAAAGAATCTTTCTTTCTGTCTTTCTTCGTTTCACTTTTTCTTTCTTTGTTATTTTTCTCTTTCTTCACTTCTTCATTCTTCACTCCTTCATTCCTCTTTCTTCGAACTTCTTTTCATCCCAACCATTTTCTTGACTTTCCAAACTCATCTCTTTTAGTTTTTTTTTTCTTTTTTTTTTCTCTCTCTTTCTCATATAGTTAAATTCTCTCTTTTCCCTCTCTCTATTTATCCTTCTCTCTTTCCATCTATCTCTCTCTTCCCCCCCTTTCTCTCTCTCTCTCTCTCTCTCACTCTCTCTCTCTCTTTATCTCTCTTGCTCTCTCTTTGGTTTCAGTTATCTCTTCTACCTTTTTTCTTCGCTCTCAAGTTTTCATCTTTTTACTTTATCTTTTTTTTTTACTAAAATCTCTCTCTCTCTTCTTATTGTCTCAATCTCTCTCTCTCTCTCTCGTATTATTTCCTTCCTTTTTTTTTTTTTTTGGCGGGGGTAAAAGAAAAGTTTTGGCTCATCTTTCATTAATTTCTTTCGATTTTTTCCTTCGCCTTCCTTATAATTTACGAATATTTTTTCTTACTTCTTTTTTCGTTTTTAGTAAGTAAAAGATAGAAGATATAGTCAGACATTTTTCAGGGATAAGAAATCAGGAAAATACATTGGCATTTATTCTTTGATCTTCTTCGATAATAATAACATGAAGAAAATGTAAAACTCAAAAATGTAATCTCTGAGAAATGGACAGGCTCGACAATCTTCTCTTCCTTTTGTTAAGGTCAACATGACATTGACAAAATGTGTTTTTATTAACAAATTTTTAGAAATAAACAACCAAATACTTTAAAATATAAAATATATGTTCATTATTTATATGTGAGTTCGTATTTATATAAAACGCAAGCCAGATAGATAATAAGAAAATTTGAATTAATAGATAGATAAACCTAGATTTCTAACAAATTTAGATTTAGATAGATAGAAATCCTAACAAACTTAGATAGATAGATGATAACAATAGATTTTTAGATATTATATATAAAAGAACAAACTTTTGATAGATAATAGATAGATATAGATAGATAATAAATAGATAATAGATAATAAGAATTTTTTAGATAGATAGATATTTTTATATTATAGATAATAAATAAGGAAAACATAGATATTGATATATAAATAGATAAGGAACAAACATATAGATAGATAGATTTTTAGATTTTTTTACAAACATAGATAGATAGATAAATAAAAGGAACAAACATAGATAGATAGATGTTTAGATAGATAGATAGATATCATAAATAAGATAACAAACAAATAGATAGATTTGTTCAAATTAGATAGATGAAATAGATAGATAAATAGATACGAAACAAATTGAGATAGATAGATAAGATAGATAGATTCATAGATGACTAGATAGATAGATTTATAAAAAACAAACATTTAATAATAGATAAACTGCAAACATAGATAAATTCCATAATAATAATAGATGTGATATATTGAACAAATAGATAGAATTAGATAGATAAATAGATATTATATAAATAAACATAAAGCATAGATAGATTGATAGATAAATATAATATAGATTAGATAGATATAGATAAGATAGATAGATAGATAGATAGATAGATAGATAATATTAACATAGATAGATAGATAGATGATAGATAGATAGATAAGGAACAACATAGATAGATAGATAAATAGTTAGATAGATAAGGAACAACATAGATAGATAGATAAATAGATAGATAGATAGATAAGGAACAAACTGAGATAGATAGATAATTTGTCCCCCTGCAATAAAGAAGCTAATAGTAATAAAGATTTGCAAGTACTTGTTAAAAATATCAATCCGTAACAAACTTGTGAGCGCGTTATTTTAGGCTGATAACCCATTAATGTTAACAGTAAATCATCAAGGCTGACCACACTGAGGATCATAGAGTTATTATATACTCCACAGTCATTTCATTAGAATAGGCAAAGACCTACACGACCTCAACAACCAAACCGGCGGAAGAGGACAGCGCCTGGGCTGGCGTAACCAAGACGGACCTTGACAGACCAACTATCCGACTGCCCAATGCAACCACGTTCGTTTGATATCCTCTTTCTCAAACCCCTTTGAGCTGCGAGGAAGACGCTTCTGGCTAAGTGTGGGGGTTTCTCTGTCGCGCAGAGTCGTCCACCAAAATCAAATTCACACGAATGGCCTCGTCAAACCCTCTGAAACTCTTCAGAAAGGTGTAAAAACTCAATTTCAAATTCCACCACCGCTACCAGAAAGGAAAAAAAGGAATAGGGAGAGAGAAGACGACGATCCCGATACGCGGATGCGAGCAGGTGCCGACTATGAGCATTGCCAGAAATACATACCGTTTCAATTCAGAATTGTCCTTCCCATAGATTGCTTGCCACCCAAGGATTAAGAGCCCAGTTTACCCTACTATTTAACACATAAAACATGCCACCTTCCTCACCAGCAGAAAAATATTACCAATAGGAGGCGGTATGACATGACAAAATTTTTGCAAATTGGTATGCGAGACGATCTATTTAACTTTCGCGCCCGTCTTATCATAATTTAATTAATATTATAACATTGTATAAAATAATTTCATCTGAATGAAATAAAGCTGTTTACTTGTTTTAATAACTTCCTAATTTTATTTCGCTTTGATTTGTTCACTGAAAAAAAAAAACGTTTGACCCGAGTTTACGTTGTTGTTTTCAAAATATCAAATTTGTATTAGAACGCCATTTGCAAACTTACATCACTTAATTATACATTTTCAAAAAGTTCAATCAAGATGTTGACGTTCCACACTACTTCAAACAAAAGTTTAGGAAGGAAACCCCCATCAATACTGAAAAGAGCGATAACAGCCTCAGCATTTGAGAAACCTATTTTCCTGAAAAATTGTTTTAAGAGAAAGATTTTAGGCACTTCAACTGAAAACAGTACTGGCTGCTCGATCTATAAATACCAAATGTTTCCTTATAGGGAAACGTTTAATATAACCATTACGATTACCATTTTTCAAGACTTTGCCGTCGAGTCACTATTACAGAGAATTTCGTTTCATTATCTTCACAGATTTTTGGAGTCTTATATCAAGAAATTTCCCATTTTTTTCTTTTCTAATTTTGCACAAACCACTTTCCTATTTGATCTATAGTAACATTGTATAATACTCGAATATATATATATTAATACAAGGAAAATCTATAAAGTGTTCAAATATTTTGAATATAAGGAACATCGATTGCGCTGTTTTGATGTAATTTGACAGTTAAACAGGAAGTTCATAACTTCACATGCGCGGACAAGCGCATTCTTGAATGGTTAGTCTGCAGTAAGAGGCTAGTGAGAAAACTTGTGTATTATGCAACTGTAGCATTAATAAAGAATCTGCATCAACTTTTGGTCGTGACACTTCCAAGATCCATCTCCTGGACGGATTTCAACAAATAGAATACTCGAAACCATTCTCTCAAAACTTTTGTCCAAGCATTAACAACTGTAAAACAAATGTTTTATACTTATTGCCATGGGGTCTAAATCAGGATGTATTTTGATTTAACATCGGGCTTGAATTATGCGTAAAAGATGTACGATAATGAATTTGAAAAGAAATGTTGCGTTGCAGACCAGACACCAGGTTCGTTGACAGGGTACGGTTTCTTTCAGTTAAACGCTTTTGACTTTAAAATTATCCTTCGGTCAGATCGTTACCTACGAGTGAAGAACAAAACAATTTCTAACAGTAAACCAGATTTTATTCTTGGCTTGTAAACTACTGTTTTAAGCGAGCGAAGTATAGATGAGGCGTGAGAGAACGGGGTGGTGTACAGTCCAGCGACTGTCTACCCTCTCCGTTCTCCGAGGCCCGCTTCGTTCTTCCTGTGTGCCTTTTTGCGGGATGGTCAGTTTTATAGATAACAGTTTCCTTTGTCTTGTCATCTTCGTCTAAAAAAGTAAGTTATCTTTGTTCTGTGATTTTCTTTCAGTTTGAGCCTCTTGCTCTATACTTTTAAGTTGCCTTCACTTACTGATAACCTTCGGTTGTAAGTAAATGTTCTGTATTGGGTTATGCGACAGCTCCGGCTGTTTTCAATTTAACAAGACCTCAGCTGATTTATATTGCTACAGAAATTCTTTGTACTATTTACTAAATAACAGTTTTAATTATTTGCTAGTTCTGTTTTACTCATCACTAAAACTTATATGATTGTTTTATTTTATTCCTTTTCAGGCGAAAGACTTTGACAAAATGGGGACCCTGAACAGTCGGGTCAAATACAAAATCGTTGAAGCCGTTAATAATCTAACGGAAAATTTCACAATAGACGAATTTCGCGGAGAAATATCGCTGAACGGTCCGCTAGATTATGAAGGCCTTGACCCGGATTTGAATGGCAAAATCATCATTACGGTGATGGCCTACGACATGGGAATCCCGCCAATGAACTCAACAACCAATGTCACAGTTACCGTTGAGGTAAGTACTCAAACAAATTTGGTGAAAATGGAATCCATTTACGGAGGAAGCTGATTGATAGAGTATTGAGGTCTAACTCCAGCTACGGGTTAGTGACACTTGTTTCAGACATTATGACGAAAAACCCTTTCTTTATTGGTTATCTTTATTCTGTATCTATCATGTCCAGCAACAGAAATATAATTCCATTAGTTTCTACTATAAATTGATTCCATTTCCAAAGCACAATGACGTCTGATGACATCACTTTTATCCGACTAGCTCGGCTTAACAATACTAAGTATTAGAGAACAACTGGCTTTTTAAGTTTGATTCTAAATACAAATGTGTCTTCTGTCACAATTTTATGAATGTACATCTAAATACATTCTTCTTTGTCAGTATTTATTTACTCTCTTTATAGGCGGACTATTGTCCTCATCGTTGTTGTTTTTATCCCAACGTTCCGGTCATTGTGCCTTCCTTCTGACAGACAGAAATTTATTTCTGGAGATTGATATAGTTTTTCTAATACGAGAAAAACGTTAGAATGTAACAAGAACGAAGAAATGATCTTAAATGATTTAATTACCAATAAATCCTTTCCTTTGTTTTTTTTTTCTTTTGATGAAACGATTTCAGTATTTTAATTTGAATACCAGATTTACGTCATCTTACTATTTTCTCTTCTTAAATGAAAGATTTTCATTATTATTATTATTTCAATACTTGATTTACTCGACATTATTAATGCTGCATTTTACATTAAGCCTCTGCATTATTATAATTTTAATACGGCCTTTACAGTATTTTATTAGTATTGCATTTTGGATATAGCCTTTTATTAATGTTGCTTTTTTTAAAGGAATCTTTTTTCATTTTCATTTTATTATTAATTTCAATCCATCATATCTTTTCAATGAGGCACTTCACTATTGTTTTTGTATTTATTTCCTGGCGTGTACATATTTATTTCCGGGTCCCACCCAAGGACCTAAGGTTAGAAATGGCATCAGGACAACAAAAAAAAGCATATTTTACATCGTGGTGTTCTTTGCTGGGTTTTCGAGTGCAGTGAAGATAATGTCCTGACATGTCGATACTCCTCGCGAGACCATTTCGTTCATTTTCTTTTTATTAGTCGATTTGGTATTGAGTCACTTGTTCCAAGGTTAGCAATAGTCCGGGTTTGATGACCTAGTGTCTCTTCGTTTGTGGAAGAGTTTGTTCCAGTGACAGATTTTTCGCCCTCAGACTGGGTTCCTCTCTAAGGGACGCGGCCCTTTTTGTCCTGGTTGACGGCCGATCCGGTATGAAATTTTATTCGTATTCATTGAAATTGGTAGAGATTTGCGTTTTAACCTTGACCGCCAAGGGATAATTATGTTCAAGTTACCAGCTTTAGGACGACTCTCGAAGAAGACCCAATAGCACGCCCAACCAATGAAATCGGTAGCACGTTCAATTATTATTATTATTATTATTATTATTGCTACTGCTGTTGTTGTGGCTACTACTGGTGTTGCTATTGATGATGATGATGATGATGATGATGATGATGATGATGTTTTTGTTGTTTTTACTACAGCTTATTGTTGCTTTTAAGATGGTGTATTTTCATTTTGATTTTATTATTACTTTCAGTTCATTATATTTTTATTGTTGCTAATGTTGCTGTTGTTGCCGTTAAAGATTATATTTTGATGGTTTTGTTACAATTTTTTATTGTTACTTTTTAAATGAAGTAATTTCTATATTATTATTTTAATATAGAAGAGTATATTGTCTCGAGGTTTTGTGGCAAAAAATAAGAAGACGGCGCACAATTAGTCATAATGTACTTTATAATAACTTACAAGACTAAGTCAATTAGTCATAATATAATTAACAATAATTGAGAAAACAGAGTACAATTAATCATAATTACGTTTCTAGTAGCTTTTATACTCAACTTGTTATTTGGTTGTCTAAAACTATTGAACCTCGTCAGCGGTATGGAGGATTATACTGCTGCGGTTACGGATTTTAAGGAACTGAGTTACTAGCCACATCATCAATCTGAAAATAATTCATCACCGTCAAGGCGGCGTAAACGTTTTTTAAATCTGTCACACCTGGAAAGTTATCAGTGGGCGGTTTCAGGTAAATATATCTTTACTAATTCGGAAATAAAACATTATAGTATGCGTATACTACAAGTTAATTCTTCAACTTTCTGTTTAACAAACAGGAAAAAAGAGAGAAATTTTCAAAAGTTCAAACTATGCAATGAAAGTATTATGTTTTTATTAGTATTATTACTTTTTTTATTTTCGTTTATCTAAGTCAAAATATAACCTTGTGTACCTTTTCCTTTTTTCAGGACGAAAACGATAATGTCCCTGTTTTTGACAAAAAAATGTATTTTGCACACATCGCTGAGAACTCGCCACCTGGTAAATTCTTTATTATATTTTTTTCTTCTTTGCTAATAATGAACTCAAAACCTAAATTTTGTTCCAGAATTAAAACTATTCTAATCTATGAATCAATATAGAAGCGAAAGTTGCCATCTCTTAAGTTTGCTAAATATTTTCCGTTTACATTAGCGTTTCATTTTTTAAAATCAAGAAAAAAAAACCTTGCGCACATATAATTAAATATAAATATTTTTGTATACGAAAAGTGTGTAAGCTTATGTATTTGCATAGAAGCGTGTCTGACTGCTTTGTTGTTAAAAACGTGTATTGACATTTTTCAATTATTTTCTCAATTTTACAACAAATGCCAATGTGATATTTATACTTTCTTGGTGTGTTTTTAAGGCTTGATCGTTATTGCTATTTAACTAATATTATTTCTTATACAGGTACTAGTGTGACTAAAATTCGAGCACATGATGCCGATATTACAAGTCCCAACAACGAAGTTATTTACAGAATCGACAGTGGAGCATTCGACAAATTCCGTATTGACGCCGTCAGCGGAATTCTAACTGTAGAGAAAGGCGCCATATTGGATCGTGAGATGATGGCTAAATACCAGTTAAACGTTTCGGCTATCGATCGTGGCACACCTTCCAACCACGGCAAGTGCCAAGTAATCATCTACATCGGCGACGTTAATGACGAATCACCGTTCTTCGACAAACCGACTAACTACCTGACAGTCATGGAGAACCAGACGATTGGCACAATCATACATACTGTGTCTGCAAAAGACAACGACTTAGGAGCTCACCTTGAATATTATATTTTGTCTGATCGAATCCAAGCCTTCAATGATCTCACACCTGTGCCGCCTAATATTTTAGAAACTATCAAGGTAAGATTAAAAACGGCTCTTTTTAACAAAAAAAAAAAAAAAAAAAACGTAATAAGTCTACAAAATTAATCTTTTCTTCCATGTCACCTCATTTTACCGAGCATCCAGTACAGCTTTCGGTTGTAACATCTTTTTCTTAAAACATTTTTTCACAAAAACAGGTTTCTTAAGTCCAGTAGCTGTTATCGCTCTTTCTAGTATTGAAGGTTTTTCCTTCCTAACCTTTATAGTAGTGTTTAATGTTAGCATCTTATGTGATTTTCTCTTCGAGTTAAATGTGCTATCCGTTTTAGCTGTTGCTGCTGTTGGCAGTCTTCAAGTGATGTGGATTTTGTTATTTGGTACAGATCTTTACGGGTTCAAATCTTGCGGGAGACTGTTTCTTCATTTCATAACTGATTTTCTGACCCGTGAAATAAAAAAATACTATAATAAGCAAACAAAATACAAAATAGTTCAAAACTGAAAATGAAAACTCTTCGTTGGGAAAATTCAAACGAGTTTTCACATTCGCAAATATTTCAATTGCTTCTACTGTCGACCGTTATAAACCTAGGATTTTTTGCTAATGGATTCTTTTTATTAATTCCCTGTGTTTCATTTTATTACCTTGTGTTTATTGTTTTATCATATTGCCCTGTACTTAATGTTTTATCTTATTTCCCTGTGTTTATTAATTGATTTAACTTATTGCCTTGTGCTTATTAATTGTTTTATCTTATTGCGTTGTTTATTGTTTCATCTTATTGCCATGTACGTATTGTTTTATTTTACCTCCATTATTGTTTTATCTTATTGCTCTCTGCTTGTTAATTGTTTTATCTTATTGCCCTATCCTTATTAATTACGTTATCTTATTGCCCTCTGCTTATTAAATGTTTTATCATATTGTTATGTTTATTGTTTTCTTATTGCCCTGTGTTTATTAACTGTTTTTATATTATTGCGCTGTGTCTATTAATTGTCTTCTCATATTGTCATGTGCTTATTAACTGTTTTATCTTATTACCCCGTGTTTCAGTTAGGATAATAGATTCATCTTCAGTCATTTGATTTGTTTTGCAGAGTCATTTTGGTATCTACAGTAATAATGGTTCAATATATATTTAAATTTTTTTTGTTTGATGTTTTAGAGGAGATCAGGTGATTTTACCCGTTCTTGTCAAGGATTTGAATGCGTGGAAATCGTCAAAATCTCAGGATGTAACTCGAGAACAGACCGCTACAGGTAAGAAAGGCGACCATTTATGATTGGATAGAATTATTAAGATCTTTTGATGCTTATTCTTCCGAAATATTTCACTGAATACTGAATTAAAAACAAGATGGCGAAGAGAATTAACGTCAATTTAAAACTATAAATAAATCTCCAACTGATGTTTTTACCTCCAAAATAAATTTATATATATATATATATATATAATATATATATATATATATATATATATATATATATATATATATATTATATATATATATTTTATTCTCAAAAAAACAGACCATTCGATCCCATTATTGAATAATTTATTTCATTTCAATCCTTTTAAAATATTTCTGATTTCAAATATAAACACTTCGTCGGAAAAAAAAGTTTTTTGGATGTCAATTTCCAAAAGATAATTTTTAAATTAAACAGGGATGGTTTATATTGGCAGTCAAAGAGAAATGCAAAATATACAGAGGTTAAATTGTATTGTCTCTTAGAAAATATACCCATCAATATTTCTAATCATTTTTATTCATTTTCATTGTTGGTAAAAAACATATATATATCCGAAAAATTTAAAAAGATATTTTAAAATAAATTCATGGGTAAAGTGGTCCTGTTTTTCTTTAAATATTACTCTGTTCTTCTTCAAACAGCTCTCAGGAAAGTCGTCCTCCTTGGATTTACCAATTTCAAAATTGTTAAGTTCTTTATAACCAACTATATATATATATATATATATATATATATATATATATTTATATACTAAATTCTAATTTAGATAAGACTATTTTTAGCGCAATCCCCGCGTTTATAATAATCGTTTTCCCATATGTGGAATTTGGGAAATTTAAAATCAAATATTGTTTTAATTCGTGTTTTAATTTAGTTTTCTGAAGATTAAATGCATATCAATTGAGGACTCATTCTAAATATTTACAGCAAGTGAGTTTTTAAAGGATTATATTTTAAAATATTATGAGAAATTAAAAAACAAATTAAACTGACAAAAAGCGATAATCATTCACTAAAGTCCAATAACGCATACATGATGTTGCGCCTGACCAATAAACAAACCTATCATAGATACGTCCTCTTTTAAAAAATTGAATTTACGCTTGAATTTGGTGTTAGCTGACGTTTTCCATTCATTTCATAACCATTTTCTGACCCATTAAAAAACAATTCATATGACATTTGTGAAAAAAATTTGCATGTCAGTTGGTAACTTCAAAAAAATACGCAAACATTCTTCGTTGGGAAAAATTCAAACAAAATTTTCATTGCACCACCATTAGTAATCACTTTTTTTACTACAATACCTTTTAACTAACAATATTATCATTACCATGGATTTTGTACAGCACCATCCTATGTTTCACACCCACTTAACATATAAATCCTTGTCTTTATTATTGTTTTATTTGCATATTTATACCTCAATACAATATGATCAATATATAATTTCCATGTAACCATGAAAATAAACACCTATTACCAGGCAGCTTTAATATAATAACAATAATAATTTTGTAATTAAAATTTAAAAAATTATAGCAATCTTTGACTACCATAATTTTACACAGAATACCTATTATCAGGATTTATACCAAAATAAATTAATACATATAACAAAATAAAACAAAATAAAATAAAACACCAACAACCACTTTTTAGTTCAAGCTACCACCACTATAACTACATTCATGGTTTTATCATTCTCCCACCACCGTTACTAATCATTTCTACCAATTTAAATTTCGACCAATTTAAAATAACTATTAGCTAACTATCATTGTCTCCAATCCCTTGAAACATTACTATCACATCATATCATATAAACCCGTTATTAAATTAAACTACCCTCTCACCCAGCATTTGAATATTAAACTAAACATCACCATATAAATTAACCAATAAGGATTACAAAATTCTACCTGTTACATATACACAGTCACCAAAACAAACAAATAACCAGCTTTAAATATAACAAATAAACCCCCATTTTTTTTTCAAAAATTTAAAATAAATATAAATAATAATAATTTTTACCTATCATAATTTTACACAAACCCACCACACGCATATACATACATGCGAGGAAATATATTTTTTCAGCTGGAAAATAAAAATGAAAATCATGTACATTCATCAACGAGACATTTCCCCACACTTCCAATGTTTAAATTTCAACATTTCAACATACAAATGCGTATATATAGACATAACACCACCCGTATACATACATATGTCATAGCCCAAACTGCCCACATATGTTTATATATGTATGAGTCCCGACGGACGACCAAGTATGTATATGTGTTTGCATACATCGATGTTTGCGTTAGTACGATGAATGATAAAACGACGAAATTTCCCCCACCACTTCCCCTAATAACATATATACACGCAATCTACATAAACCCAAATTTTTAAAACAATTAATCAGTTTGTCTGACGATCGCTAAAGCGTGAAACCCAGGGTCACAAACTCACATCTATTCTATTATGGCGGTATATTTTTATATATCGCTTTATTTATTTATTTGGGTCAAATTATATTGCACGTTTTTATTTTTTTGTTTCTTATTTTATTTATTTATTTCTTAACGTAGTAAAAATTTAACAGTTTTGTTTTGGTTTGAGAATTTAATTCAAGCTATTTGTTCAATTTTGGGGTTGGTTGTTGACAAAAAATAACCGCCATAATAGAATACCCACAATGCACTACTAACCCGTATATATATAAATAGCCGAGAAAAATAACAGCATATGTGGCCTGACGATTGCATATAGCATGAAACAGACTGTCGCCTCTAAGTGTTGACTTCTATGTTCACTTTTATATTTATGGAACAGACTGTCGCCTCTAAATGTTGATTTCTATGTTCACTTTTATATTTACACACACTCTATCTCTGATACTGAATATATTTAGGCTCCAAAATTAGCTTGAGGATGAAATGGAACTAATGTCTTTGATTTAATCACAAAAATTAAATTCGGGGCTTTTAGCTTCCATTTTTGAAACATGGTTAGAACTGTGTAGCGAAACAAAACCCATATTTTAAATCAAATTTATAATATATATATATATATATATATATATATATATATATATATATATATATATATATATATATAACTAAGAATGAGGAAGTCAGTTGCATTCGTTACCTTGATTTCAACCATATTATATCCTCAGACGATTTTTATAAAAACAAAATCGCCTGAGGATACCGTATAAATTTTAAACTAATAATTTTCAACTGATCTCCAGATGGTTGAACCTTCGACATGCTACTTTTAATCTAATTTTATTTTTTCACACGTGTATTAAGCACTATTTACATTATTCGGATTATTGTCCACATCTTTGTCGCCATGTTTATCACAACGTTTCGGCTGTTGTACGCTCCGGCCTTCTTCAGGTGGTGACATGTGTCCTCAAAGACACATGGCACAGTGGATAAAGGCGTTAGTTAGATCCAGTGACAGGACCCAAAGAGTGAGAGTTCAATATCTGGTTAAAACGGTGAACTTTGAGCGGGGAATTAACAGGAGATAACTGACTTCCATTCGACATGGCGCGTGGAACTATAACGGTTTACCCTAGTGAGCGAAATAAAGGGTTCAGTTCGACATTCCAACCACCTGAAGAAGGCCGGAGCGTACAACGGCTGAAACGTTGTGATAAACATGGCGACAAAGATGAGGACAATAGTCCGAATAATGTAAATAGTGTACATAATACCTCATCTCAGAAATATAGACAGGAGTATTGAGCACTTTTTAATATTGCTGTTTCCTGATCTGATTCAACTCTAACGAATAACCTTTTATGTTACATATATATATATATATATATATATATATATATATATATATATATATATAAAAAAAAATACGAAAAATAGAAACAAAAATCGTAATATGCAATTATGCTGTTTTAATGTCGGAAATTTTAGGTCTAGTAGACCATCTTCAGGACATATTCATAAAACATAATTAACATTAGACTATATTCAACTCAACATGAAAAGACGATGGGCATAAGAGTAAGATCGAAACGTCCTACGTTGACATATATTAACATTAAAACAGCATAATTGCATATTAGGATTTTTTGTTTGTTTTTTCCGTATATTTTTTTTCACATGACTGTCATATTTATATCCGTATATTTGCATACATATATATATATATATATATATATATATATATATATATATATATATATATATAATAAATATATATGCAAATTCTGTTTAAATTATTTAATGAGATATTTTGTTGTTGTTATAATATCACTAGCTTATTATCTTTGAGCAATTTCTCCTTTACCATTAAACGAAAAATCTCATTAGTAGAGAAATCAGACTGTATGACAGATAAAAATATAAAGTCCCATTAAAATAATAAATGCACTAGTTTAAACAGTGCCGTAAAAATGACATCATTTTTTGGAAGTCTACCTTATTATAACAAGATTTTCACATGTTTGTCTAAATATAAATATATTGTCCGTGCAAGGGAAATAACTACCAGAAAACACAATTACAGACATAATTGAAAAAAATGGTTCATTATGTATTAATTTCTGTGTGTATGTGTGTGTGTGTGTGAAATGAACAATGGAAAATAAGTCAATTATTCTAAAATTAGGAACAACATCCGAGGCTTGAATTATGATTTCATTGAAAAGCGGTGAGTCTACCAATGAATTGAGAGAACATCTGTGAGAAAATGTCTGAAATCTTAATGCTAAATAAATACAAAGCAAAAAAATTTCATTACATTTTATCTCTTCCTTTCAGTCGATGAAAGAAACGGAACGAATGGTCAATTATTTAAGACAGATCTGGTGTGGATAAGAATAAAAGCATTAAATGATCTGGTGGCGACATTAAGTTTTCAATCTTATTAGACACACATTGGGTTCCACTTTAAGTACCATATCAAGAAGTAGGTGATCATGACTATCCACAGCTTCCTTTTCTTTTAATTTATGCAAACTTTGTCATAATTTCTCTTGGAAAAAGGATTAGGGAATTCAGAGTTTCGTTCTCCTAGACTGATTGTCAACCAAGGCTAGATAGCCGAATTTCTTCAGCTGCTGATTCTATTCATGAAATAGTCCTGGGTATAACGATAAACTACACCCGGCAGGAAGGCCTCCGATCGGGAGATTGGAAGTTTTGAGGTGCATGGAACCACATCTTTTACCAGGATGGTAGCATATGTTAATATCCCAGCAATGCGCAAATAGTTAACCCTGAAACACTATATAATATAAAAAATACATTTATATAGTAAAAATACCAGCAATATATTTATATATAAAAGATTTACCAACGATATATATTTCTAGTAGAATTACCAAAAGTACATTTTTAAAGCAAAATGACCAACAATACATTTTATATCAAAATGACCAACAATACATTTTAGCTGTAGTTGAAGCCATAACACCAAGTTCAACATATTTAGATTCCAGCATTAAATCACCCGTCAAGCTTGATATCGCGCTAAACAAAATCAAAACCATTTATTAATTCAAATTGATTCTTGTGTTTTCAATGGCATTAGTGGAATCGACGGGGTGAGTTCAGATTCCGTCCGATTCTACTTCGTTCATTTCGCGCCAATACCGTTGAAAAAGGCATGAATCCATCATCTTTGAGCTAGGAGTCAGGTCAGATTGGGCTCTTTTACCTTGGATGGCAGCCAGTCTAGGAGAGGGACAATTCTAAATTCAAATCTGTTGGGAAGGCTGTTTGAAGATTTTGTTTTCTATTTCTCGGTTATCAGTTCTAAAAATGATGTCTGGTTCCTATAACCCTTCGCCATTATAATCACCTCATCTGCATGGATAGCCTAGGGGTTTATTTCTGAACTCTGAACTGTTCGGCTCCCATACATCTAAATCGTGAAACAGTTGCAAAGTAAACGGCCTCAGCTGGAATTTGTGATCGTCTTGTCGATTTCAAATTCTGCGCTGCTGAACCGCTAGTTTGATCGCACCTCCCCATCTTGTTCTATTGATGCTTCATTCCTTTCTTTCGTTTCCACAGTGATTCTAACAATTACAGTCCTTGATGCAAACGACAATCCTCCTGATTTCTTACCAAGTAAAATCTACCGAGTAAATGTTTCCGAGGGTGTCCCTCTTGATACAGAGGTTTTGACAGTTAAAGCAACAGACAAGGACAAGAACCAGAAAATATGGTTCCGAATTGGATATGATCCAATGGCAACATTTAAAATCAAGTCATCTGAATCGTACACAGGTAAGATTTGATCTTTTTTAAAATTATTTTTTCATTTCCTTGGTTTTTTTCTCTAAAATCAAACTAAAAAATTATACAAAAAAATCTAATAATAATAGTAGTAGTAGTAGCATTAGTAGTGATAATAGTAGTAGTAGTAGCATTAGTAGTGATAATAGTAGTAGTAGTAGCATTAGTAGTGATAATAATTAAAAGTAAAAGTAGTAGTAGCATAAATTAGTGATAATATTTTTAGTAAAATAAACCTAGTAGCATTAGTAGTGATAATAGTAGTAGTAGTAGCATTAGTAGTGATAATAGTAGTAGTAGTAGTAGCATTAGTAGTGATAATAATAGTAGTAGTAGTAGAATTAGTAGTGATAATAGTAGTAGTAGTAGCGTTAGTAGTGATAATAGTAGTAGTAGTAGTAGTAGTAGCATTAGTAGTGATAATAATAGTAGTAGTAGTAGTAGCATTAGTAGTGATAATATTAGTAGTAGTAGTAACGTTAAATGCAGATTCTGTGATAAATATCCAGAAACAATTGACCATCTTGTATCAGGTTGCAAGGTTTTAGCACCAACTGAATATAAAACTACGATAGCGTGGTCCATTATCTGTAATGGAAAATATGCAACTTTTACGGGAAAGAAACTGCGAGAAAACTGGTATGAACATCACTTAGACTCAGTTAAAGAGATGAGACCTGTAACAATTTTATGGGGCTTTACGCAGAGGCAGAACAATCAGAGCTAATCGCCAAGACATTGTTGATCAAAGACCACAAGAAGAGACTGTGTTTCATAATTAATATGTCAGTCCCTGCAGATTGTAATGTATCTATGGAGATCTTCAAAAAAGTATTAAAATACAAGCATCGTGAAGTGGAAATCTAAAAAATGTGGCAGATGACAACATCAATAATTCCAGCTGGAGTTGGATCCCCATCGAACTGATTGAAAAAGGTAGACTCATTGAATGAATTCTTGGTAACTCATGTCATATAGAAATACAAAACATTGTATTCACAAGTACAACTCACGCATTACGAAGAGCTTTATCTATTCAAAATGTGTGTGACCTCGTGGGTGTTTTTTTTTTTGGCGGGGGAGCACAAAAATGATCAGTGGTAAAAATCATTAGGTGGTGTTGGAGGTAGTGCTATTTGTGTATGTTATGTTTCCTGTTTTTATCCTGTAGAGCCGGGTCCAAACTATGGTCCTTAACTGATTATGATGTTAATATGGGATCATCCTAGTAGGGTGATCTTCTGGGCAACTTGTATGTTGATGTTACCTGAAATACTGTTAGTAAAATTGTAACTTTCTTTTCTCACGAGGTCCAGATCTTCGATTACTATTGATACAGTCTCAGTCATCCCGTTAATCTCGAACTCCAGATCTTTGCATTTGGACAATTTCTCGATAATTTTTACGGAGGACTTTGTCTCGGGTGATACTGCTATGTCAATAAGCATACACTCCATGAATTTCTTGTCTTTTATGATAATATCAGGTCTGTTGGCTTTTATTTCCCTGTCAATTTGAATTGGCATGTCCCAGAGTATAGTTACATCGTTATTTTGGATAACTGTGTCCGGTTGGGGTTCATACCATCTTTCAGTGGTTTCGATTTTATGCTTCTTGCATATCCTCCAGTTCACATATGTCGCTACTGTATTATCTGGGTATATTCTTTTTTTGCTAGTTCCAGACTTCCTGAGATAATATGGTCGACAGTTACATTATATTTTCCGCAGATTCTGCATTTCGGGTTAGTTCTATCCTGTGACAGTGATAGGATCTGATTGCGAGGCTTTGGTCCTGAGCTGCAATAATTAAACCCAGTGCTCCTCAGCCATTGATGTGTTTTCTGTTCATCCACATCTGCTACTTTGGTTCTTTTTAGATATTTGTCGTGCAACGCTTTGTCCTCAAAGTTTTGTTGTAATTTCATTTAACCAAGTTGTTTTGCTTTCTGTTTAATCGTTTGGCGTAGATATTATTCGCTTCGATTTCAGGTATATTGAGCTGTTTCTTGAAGGGTGCAGCTTCTGTGTTGATGGAGCGATTTTGGTGTTTTACTATTTGTAGATGATGATCATTGTTTTTTTTTGTTTTTTGTTTTTTTGGTTTTGGTTTTTTTGGGTTTTTTTTGGTTTTTTTTGTTTTGTTTTTTTTTTAAGTAGGCTTCCAATTCGATTGTTGTAGTTTTTAGAGTTAATTCAAGTTAAATTAGACCTCGACCTCCTAAAGCTCTTGGTGCATACAGCCTGTCAACATCTGATTTCAGGTGGTGCATCCTCATTTGGGTAACCATTTTTCTGCTCTTGGCATTCATTCTTTTAATGTTATTCAACTTTCTTTTAATAATGTTGAAACTGTATTATTATTATCAACATCAATATTATTATTATTACCCACTTTAAAAATTGTATACAAGTATAAAAAAAATCTACAAAAAATGCTAAGGCTTATAATATTTTGTAGATTCTTTTATATTTTTATACTTGAAATTTTAAACATTAGTAACTTGAAGAAGACAGACATATTGTTGATATTGTTAAACATTGTCCTTTCTTTTTCTTTTATTTTTATTAAATCGCGCTCTTCTCTAAGTCTTGAAAAATATTGGAAGAGTTACATGAATCATCTTGTTTATTATTATTATTATTGTTTTGTCATTGCTTTATGTAGCACAACTAAGTACCATCGCAGACCCCCAGCACCTCCATGGTCTAGACATTTCAAGTCTTTCTCGAATTTCACCCTTCTCCAATTTTGATTTTCGTGTTTTGGAAATAATTCTAAATACAGCAACTATTATACTCTCGATTTCAATTTTTTTATTCTACATTTTTTCAACTCCAAGGCAAGGTACTTGCACTTTTGCATTTTTACGCTTTCTTTAGTCATTGGCCCACAGGTCTATTAACAGCCATAATTTAATAGTTTTTGTTCTCAGCTGTTTGCACAGTTCCAAAAGAATTACCTTACCCACACAGGTATGCCTATTCTTGTGCTACTACTATCTCTCTTGCTTGTTTTTGTCAATTAAAGAAGCAATAGAGACAGTAGCATTAAAAAAAATAGGCATACCTGTGTGGGTAAGGTAATTCTTTTGGAACTGTTCAAATAGTTATGATTTTATTTCTTTCTTCAAATTACCTCTTCTCAAAATATTCCTGATTATTGCGAGTTATTTGATTTGAATTTTGAATATTTTTTCTTCTTCCTTTTCTTTTTTTTCAACCTGTTGGTAATTATTATTATATTCAGTCGGATTTTCCCCTTATTAGTAATTAGTGAGAGTGGGGGGCTTGTTCCTTTCTTTTACTGTTTTTGACTAAATGTTCCTCCAGAGTCACTTAAGTTTAGTGAATGAGGTTACAGCATGGACGTAAGAGAAAGAGATTATGAGGATATTTAGGGTAGATAAAGGCTGACTTTAGACTTGAAGAAGCTAATATTGTAGAGACCGGAGAATTTCTTGGGAAGAAGCTGTTTGAATGGAACTTCCTCCTTACTAATGGAATACAAATGGAGTGCTGACTATTCGTCACAGTGTACGTGGCATGGCGGTTTTGACTTGTGAAGGTATGAACTGGTAGAAATTAAGAATGTAAGTCGTAGGAGCCTTTCCTATGGAAATAGCAACAGAGTAGCGAGAGGCTTGCTGCGTTTCGTCTCTGGGAAAAGGGGTTGTAGAATGGAAAATAATTCATCACCCATAAGGCGGCGTAAATTATTTTGACAAGACTGGAAACATGAAATTAGATAGCTCCAGCACACATATGACAGCAATTGTATCTTTTTTAGTTTGGTCTTGTAAAGATCTGAAACCCAAGTGAAAGCATGTTTCCTTAATGAAACTTGGATATTTACCAGTATTCTAGCAGATTTTAGCAGCACTGTTGCCTGCATGGACTCTGTTCTTCCTTTGATTACTACTTACTTTAACCTTTTTTCCTAGGCTTTTAGGAAATGTTCCCATTGCTCTGATAACAATGGGTACGACCGTCACATTCACGTTGTACACTTCTTTTTACTTCTGTGGTCTACCAGAACAGCGAAATCCAGTGAAACATTTCTTTTGGGCCCAATCTTATGGCTTGAAACACGTGAACAATTTGAACCTCAAAGTTCCATAGAAATTTTTAATTAAATTCACCCCATGTAAGGGAGTAAAGCCACTAAGTCACAAGAGACCAATGAGTGTAAAAGAATTAGAAAACAGAAATATTAAGCACAATACAAGCCTAATCAGGAAAACAGTAGATAACGATTGACATTGCATTTAAATTTTTGAAGTTGGCGGGAAAGCATAGAACCGGAATAGTGTTCCCCAAGCAGGAAGTGCGTGAAAATAAACTGTTAGCATAGAACTTATGGTTACATTTAGCCAGTTCAAGTGTAAACTGATGGGACCTTGCTGCCAATCTAGTACTGCGCTTAAATTCATAAGGTCTAGATACCATAGTCAAGATCTCATCTGAACATTTACCATGAAAGTATTTATAGAAAAGACACAGAGAGGCAATTTTACGACGGTGAGAAAGTGACTGAAGCTGAGAAATGCCAGGTCAGGTCCAATAATATTGCTGATTCGTCATTTGTTTTATCAAGCATCTCTAAATATATAGTAGAAGTACTGGACCATAATGTCAACAATAATCTAAGCATGGACAGTAGACTTATAGATATGTAATACAGATTCGAGGGAGAAAAGCTGTCTAGCACGACACAGTGAACCAACTTTCTCAGCAGCTAACCTAACAATGGATTCAGTATAGTATTACCACTTCATGTCAGCCGAGACGGTGCAATGAGCCACCCACCTGGAGGTTAGCATCAGCCATAGTAACGGAAGCTAAAAAGCGATGTCTTAATGGAGGCATTTTTTTTTTTTTTGAGACGTTAGAATTAACAAGCCATTCTTTCATCTAGTTAACAATAGATTGTAACTCATTTATGAGATCGGCTGCCAAAATGTTTTTAATTACCTAAGATTCTGAGCTGCACATCTAGCATTGTTCTGTACAGTGAAAAATGAAGTGAATCACCTTTCGCACCGACCCATTGTCTATTCTTGTATTCTTTATGTCTTAATTGAATACATTGTCTGATCATGTGGTTGGCTCTCTCATCTTTCTTATTTTTCGTCTAATTTCCAGGTATCATCCGTCTTCAAAGACAACTGGACAGAGAAGAATACTCGAATATCACATTCACTGTGTTAGCTATTGATGAAAAAGGTGCACATCCGCTGACGTCAACTGCAACAGTCTACGTCAATGTAGTGGATATGAACGACAATCGACCACGTTTCATTACTCAAGAGTACGTCTATTCTGTGTACGAAAACGCAAAACTCAATACACTTATTGCAACAATTAAAGCAGTTGATGACGACAATGGAGCCTACGGAAAAGTTCATTATTCCCTAGAGACAACTGATCAAGACTTGCCTTTTAGAATTGATGAAGACACGGTAAGTTGGTTGTGGATAGTAAAAAATAAAATATCCTTCAATGAAATGATGCCGCAAAGCGGTTTTCTTTATTAAAGTTAATAAGATCTGTGTTTGATGTTATGCCCATGAACTGTCGTAGCTTATTAGGAAACTTTAACTGAAATGTTGAAGTTACTAACTATTCTTTTATTTTTGTTTGCATTTTTTTCTTTTTACAGAAGGCGTCTTTGATATTATCTACCGTATATACCTATGTATAAGTCTACCCTACTTCTAGTTGGCCACTATTTTATATCTGAGAAATGGAGAAAAATTCAAACCCCGTTGAGGCAGCTAATCAACGCATTATGTTCAGATGGCAAAGTTTTGCAAGAATTTTTTATAAGAACTTTAATATTTTGCTATATGAATTTTTTTCAAGTGACATTTAAAATATAGTTTTTATTTCACAAACCCATTACACAAATGTTGTTACAATTTCATCTGTTTTTATAAAGTTTTAACAAGACTCGAATTTTTATTTTAGTCGTCGGCACCCGCTCGCATCCGAGCAACAGGATCGTCATCCACACTCTTTATTTCCGCTCTCCACTCTGGTATCGGTGACGGAGATGGCTGTGAAGGCCCAGCCTACTCCCGAAGAGCGGTGATCAAATGTCACAGACGAGTGTGGGTGGTGGACGCAGCTGGGCGAGTCGGGCTCTCCTGACAGCACGTCGCAGATCCTCTGCATGTTTTTATTTAATTCTATTCAATAATTTTGATTTATCTTCCATTTAGAAGACAATAACGTCATCTTCTGAATAGGACAGGATTTTATTTAACACAAATCAAATTAAACATTTAAGAAATTAAAATTAATTAGAGAACCATCCACTCACATCCTAGGAGAAATGGGGCATTCGAACTAGTGTAATGGTTAACAAGCTTGTCTCAATAGAACAACTACTACCGAGTAGTGAGTTCGATCCTCACTAGGTGTCTGATTCTTTCGGTCATGTGTCAAATCTAAACTACCTTTAGAAAATCACCATCATGGGAGAAATAAAAACCTTATGAGTACTAAAATATTCAGTAAAATGTTTCTAAAATCCAAGTAATGAAGTGTTTCATTGTAAAGCAATTACTCCAGATATTTTGGCACTTTTAGTAACATAGATATTGAAGTTACTCAGATCTATCTATCTATCTATCTATTTTTCGATCTAACTAGCTATCTATATAGCTATCTATCTACCTGTCTAATATTCCAGATATTTCGGAACCTTTAGTAACATAGATATTGAAGTTGCTCAGATCTATCTATCTATTTTTCGATCTAGCTAACTATCTATATAGCTATCTATCTACCTGTCTAATATTCCAGATATTTCGGAACCTTTAGTAACATAGATATTGAAGTTGCTCCGATCTATCAATCTAGTTTTCGATATAGCTAGCTATCTATATCGGAACCTTTAGTAACATAGATATTGAAGTTGCTCAGATCTATCTATCTATTTTTCGATCTAGCTAGCTATCTATATAGCTATCTAACTACCTGTCTAATATTCCAGATATTTCGGAACCTTTAGTAACATAGATATTGAAGTTGCTCAGATCTATCAATCTATTTTTCGATCTAGCTAACTATCTATATAGATATCTATCTACCTGTCTAATATTCCAGATATTTTGGAACCTTTTGTAACATAGATATTGAAGTTTCTCAAAATCGGAAAAACATTAACCCCGCATATAAGTCTATCCCGGCATTTTATCATTGATTCTTTTGTCGTATATTTGTCGGCTTATTCACTAACGTACACAGTACTTGCTAGCGTGCCTAAGTAGCAAGAACAGATATATTTTAACCGTAAAGTTTCATAAAATCGGAGTGCCAATTTCTTCCGTTGCTTCGACAAGAATGAGGAAAACACGATTTTTGATCCAATGTAGTAAAGCCTTTCTGATTAGTCAGATTTGTGTAATAAGGAAGATTCCAACGAAACAAATATCAGGATATTCATCAAACATTTTACACGTCGCCTTTTCACAACAGTGTTATCTGATTGGGGACAAATGGCGACAAGACACCTCAAAAAGTCCAAAGATATTCATCGTATACCTCCAAATTTTAAATAATATTTTTCAATTATTCCTCAGTTTTGTTTATTCGGTCGAGCTAGCCTGGACATTCACTAGTCTATCACGCCAGCAATCAAGGTCTGGTAACTATCAAGGTTTGGAGGTCATTAGTGTGGCTTTATATGCCATAACATCTTTTCTTAGACCGTAGGGTTTTAGTTAATGACCTGGCAGTGGCACCATAAATTAACACCACCTCTACAGTGGCTCGAAAGAATTTCCATTTGAGGTTGTCTAGTAGATCAGATTTCCAGATTACATTCAGACATTAGCTATGCGAATTTTCACATCCTTTTCAGTAGGATTTCTTTTGCTTCCTTAATGACGGAAATGTCTGTGAAGACAAAAGAAAAAGCGGTAGGCAGAGGACAAAAATTGGCTGACAGTGTCACTGAGTGGACTGGAAGATTATTCAGAAAGATTCAGTCATTAGCACGCAACCGAGACATATGGAGGGAGATTGTCAAGTGCGCAAATGCACGGTGACGCCTATGACCACTGTCATAGGAATGATATCAATGATGATGATGACGACGACGAAAATGATGAGGATGATGATGATATTAGATTTCTTTTAACTCACTAAAAGAAATTATATATTTATAGTAGTACAGCATTTTCCTTTTTAACATTTACATCAAGTTTGATGAATATTTTCCATTATATATTTTTAATGAAGCTTCACCGACATTTCCCGTCGTTTCATTGAAAATCGAGAGACAGGGTGTCTCCTCTATATTCCCGCCTTTTATTAATATTTTCCCGCCTTTTATCAGTATTTTCCCGCCTTTTATCAGTATTTTCCCGCCTTTTATTAGTATTTTCGCAGATTTCATTACCGCTGTTGCCTGAATATGTACAATTCCTCTTTGAATTTCTTCCACTTCTTGTAAAACCTTTTGAAAGGGGCTTTAGGTCAATTCCAAGTCTTCCATTTATGGCAGACCCATTCGTCACTTTATATATATATATATATATATATATATATATATATATATATATATATATATATATATATATATATATATATATAATGTAAAGCACATATTTTCAAAATTTTCGTTCTCTTCTATCACTATGCGGTCGATTTAAACGACAACATCCATTAACATATTTCTTTGTCCTTGTTTATGATGGATAATTCTATTCTGCTTATTTATGACTTTTATACCAAAAGTAAATTGCAACTAAGTTGTTAGAACATTATCGTGAGACGTGGGTTCAAATCGCGTGATGGTCGACAAGTCAGGAAGGTGATTTCATGATAATATCGGCCGTTGGGAAGTTATAGCGCCGGTTAAAGCAAGACTTGTAAGTAAAATTGGACAGACGAAACTGCTCGAAAGTAATCAATTGTTGTGCTAACATGAATCATCGTTACCAAGAGTTTGAGCATACAGGTCTTGGTCACCTACTGATCACGCCGGATTATGTGCTCTCTCTCAGAAAGTGTAAGTATAGGTCTGCTATATCTATCAGTAGATAGATAGATAGATAGATAGATAGATAGATAATGAATTTATTATAGATAGATAGATAGATAATGAATTTATTATAGATAGATAGATATAGATAATGAATTTATTATAGATAGATAGATATAGATAATGATTTTATTATAGATAGATATAGATAATGAATTTATTATAGATAGATAGATAGATAGATAATGAATTTATGATAGATAGATAGATAGATAGATAGATAATGAATTTATGATAGATATAGATAATGAATTTATGATAGATAGATAGATAGATAGATAATGAATTTATTATAGATAGATAATGATTTATTATAGATAGATAGATAGATAGATAGATACGAAAAGACTGAGACAGATAGATAGATAGATAGATACGAAAAGACGGAGATAGATAGATAGATAGATAGATAGATAGATAGATAGATAGATAGATAGATAGATAGATACGAAAAGACTGAGATAGATAGATAGATAGATAGATAGATACGAAAAGACTGAGATAGATAGATAGATAGATAGATAGATACGAAAAGACTGAGATAGATAGATAGATAGATAGATAGATAGATAGATAGATAGATAGATACGAAAAGACTGAGATAGATAGATAGATTAAAATGTTCTATGATTGTATGGGATAAGTGCTCACTATCCACGTTTACATTTACAAAGTGCCTTTGTAGAAGTAAACATGAAAATAGAAATCAATACTGCATGATTACCGACAGTTTCACAACTTAAATGATTATCAAATGGGCTGATGATGTCTTTATATCTCTATATATATACACGTAATGTGTATATATATATATATATATATATATATATATATATATATATATATATATATATATATATATATGTAGGTCATTATTATTATTATTATTATTATTATTATTATTATTATTATTATTATTATTTCCGTACTCCTTAATTGTATTATTCATTGCTCTATCTCATCTTTTTTTAAGGGTAAGCTGGTCGTGTCGGGTCCCATTGACAGAGAATCTCGAAGCGCCTACACAATGGGAGTTGTTGCAAAGGACAACAAGAATTTCCCTAACAAACAGCGCTCAACTCACGAACGGATCACTGTGAACGTCATTGACGTTAATGACAATACGCCTGTGTTTCAGCAGACCGGCAAGCAGCTGGTTCAGCTACAGGAAGTGGAAGCGGTAGGTTCTGAAGTTTATACTGTATCGGCCTCCGATGCTGACGAAGGTAAGAACGGTAAAGTGTTCTATTCGCTGGAAGTCAGTCATGCCGACCGAGGACTATTCCGGATCAACAGCAAAAATGGGAAGATCAAGGTGAACCGCAGCCTCAAGGACAAGATTGGCATGCACAATGTCACCGTGATTGCAATGGATGCCGGAATTCCGCGCCAAAGTTCCAAAATGAAGGTCTACTTTGAAATCCTCGACGTCAATCTGCACAATCCGAAATTCATCTACCCGGTTGAGGGTGTGAAGCTACTGATACCCGAGGTAAGTGATACTCATTCACATTTTGACCCCCCCCCCACTATTCTAGAAAGAAAAACTTATATAAGATTTATAGTTATTTTACATGACTGCTGAGTATTAATATTAGTAACATGATAATAATTAGTTACATCAGTAACATTAGTAACATGAGTAAAGTTTCAGCGAGAAAATGGAATTTTTATCTGGCTATATTTCTGAGATGAGGTATTATGTACACTATTTACATTATTCGGACTATTGTCGCTATATTTATTACATGGAAACGAATAATGAAATACCGAATAATGCAAATTTGTGGAATTTTTATTACATTTCGCATGTGAATAAGATCATACGTATATTACGAATATATAATTCAGGGGATTAAAGCAGGTGATTAAAATTCGAAATTATTTCACTAATTCTAATTATCATTTTTACCCTTATCGTCTGAATAGATAGATAATAAACATACTGAGATAGATAGATAGATAGATAGATAGATAGATAGATAGATAGATAGATAGATTGCATGTTAAAATCTGTAGTCTAATCATAGATCAATCTTAGTGCATAGTTAAATAATCTTTATTACAGTAACAGATAAACAGATAATATTAAACAAAGATACATTTAGTGGTTATTATCACATCTCTTATATATACCTTAACGGAAGATCCATGTCTCGCAAAAATTTACGTTTAAATCTGTTGTGTACGATACACCTAATTTACATAAGTGGAGTACCGACCATATAAATATGGGTTGGTACCGGAAGACGAGGGATTGTAAGAAGAGATCGAATCCAGAGACTCTGCCCGACTGCGATTTAGTCAACCCATTATGCAGGAACAGTCTTCCCAAGAATATACCAAAACTAACTGTAAATAGTGTGTACCTTTTCCTTGTTTCAATACATTTTGTTAACGTACATTTTGTGTTGTATTATTATTATTCCATGCTTATCCAAGTTTCAACAAAATCCATGACAGATTTTTTGAAATCTTTGCAAATGTAACGAAAATGAGTTCCTAGCTCATCAATGGAGAATTAAACCGACTCTTTCTCTCCGCTAAGGTTAGAGTGAAACCTTGAATAAGTCTTAGCAACACCTAAGCTTCCCATGTCAGGGATATGATGAGGCCAGTTGTAGCGATCATGTGCATTGCAATTGCTGAGCAGTATTTGC